TAAAAATCTCGTTCGCTTCCTTTTGATCAAAGCCGACATGCCCCTTCCCCTTTGGGGTATCGCTAAAGATTTCGATACATTACGCAATCGCACCCCGCCGAAGCATTTCCGCCTCTTCTCCCACACCGCAACTGGCATTACGAACCCGAGAAAAAATTGCCGCACATGTGATTTGGATGCGTTGTCGCCTTTCAGGGTTATAAATCCTACGGCCGCTCTTCACTTCACAAGTACGCATCCTATTACGGATTTAGTATCTTATTAGGCTACACCCTTAACGGCACCAACGATGCATTTAAAACTCAAAGTTTTGCCACCCAATGTCACTCGTTGCTCTACACCTTCTTCTTGGTAGATCCCTTGTAACTGACTGGGCTACAGCGTATCACAACCACGCTGTCGAGATCGCCTTCGAACTCTACGATGGCCCGCCCCCCTTCTACACTTTCCACCACCGATTTTTAAAAAGACTAATAGTCCATCCTAGACTAATAGTCCATCCACACACAGTATATCCTACGCCTGGTGACATACCACTTCCTACCCTATAATATAACCCTTCCTCCATCATCCTCAATTCCACACCCACATAGCCGACCCCATACCTCTATCATCGCACCACACCATCCCACCCACCACCATCGATTCCTATTGCACTCCCTCCTCCCGCGATTCCCCCTCCTCCTACCTCACCTATTCCGATTTCACACCATCATAGTATACCACCCCCACCTTCACCTATTTCTCTTTCGTCACTCACGATTTTGGATTCGATTCTAACTTGCAGCTTTCTGTACACCAATTACAACCCCTGAATATGATTCAGACCATATTGCTGACTTCCATGATTCGGAGCCATCCACTCTCCGGGCCAAAATATTATCCCTTCGTGAAGATCACTCGTCCTGTGCATCGACCAATGTCACCCGCCGCACTCTCCTCCGACGTATGATTACATCCCAGCACCGTCGTCTGGCTCACCATACCCACCAACTTAAACATCGCGTCAAACCAGTAACTCCGGCTACAAAACTTGAATTCACCCTTGCAAATGCTGCGGATTTCCTCGATGACACTGTCCTGAAAAGAATCACCAAGGCCCAGGCCTCCTGCGATTGGAATCTCTGGTCTGCCGTGATCAATCTTGAGCGTGCCGGCCCATGACAGAAACCAACTCGTCGATATAGTATCCCCCTATGATGTACCATCCACCGCCAAAGACTGTCAGTATTAGCTCAACTGAAGCAGAATATATCGCGCCCTCCATAGAAACAACCCGCGATGTTGCCTGAATATGCAACATCCTTCGCGCCATGGGCCAAGCGGTTCCACATTCCACACATCTTCATGTGGATAACCAGTCCGCTATCAAGGTTGCCCTTGGGATCGGCACGGTCCAAAGACTCGAGCATATCGATGCTCGTGCTCACTACATCCGAGACTGTGCTCGGTAAGGCATGATTAGTATAAGCTATATTAGCACTCACCTTAATCTCGCTGACCTTTTCACAAAATGTCTCACCAAGCCTAAGCACGAACACATAACCGAACAGACGCATCGCCCTTGCAGCCTTTCCTAGGCAATACACAAGCTCTAGTTAGGTTTCTGGGATAGGGGTCTCGGAGCAGGCCACCCTCTTCCTCTATGTTTAAGTCTAACTTGTTTTTTTCTTCGGGGAACTGTTCATCCACAATTTCCCGTTAGTTTACTATAGTATAAAAACTCCATAATATTTTAAATAAACATTGATCAATTCTGATCAGAGTTTTTAAGGAGCACACAGAAATAAAGTGCCAGTGGATGGGCAAGGACATCATCTTGGGTAGAGAGAAGGTCCGTAGTAGGCGGCACATCGTATTGTTCGTTACCAATGCGAGCAATGCAAATATATTTCTACCTTGGCGTATCAACTGACTCAGATCCGTTGCGGAGGTGTCGGGCGTAGCCTGGATGATTCATACATGGGAATATAAATGCTGCAGAGTCTGCTGGAAGTGCATATTGTTAGGAGCCAGAAGAAGAATGACTGTTATGAGTCCATTTTCTTGCTCTAAATTTTTGAGTGTGGCGCTCCAGTGTTTGTCAGTGAAAGAGATGTTTCCATCTAGGTGTAGCCGGCAATCAGACAATGATTTTGCGAAATACATCGTGAAGAGGGGTACCCTCCTCGGGGCTACATAATAGACGAACGATTAGGCGTAGCCATGAGAGGATGAATATATATGCCGCATGTTCCTCATTTATTTCATTGATGCACAGTGAAAAACGGGGTTGTTGTCGGTAAAAAGAGTGTTGGGTACCCGTGGATGGGAGTTGGTGGGACACCTGTGAGTAAGGGGATGGAACGGCTGTGAGTAAGTCATCAACATCTCTTTGTCCGGGAGGTTTGTGTGTAGATCACTGCGACAGTGCCTGCATCAAACATGTCGAAGCGTATAGTGGTTGCCACTACGGTCAGCTAAAAGAGGATTCTGGAGATCAATTTTTGGTATAAGTTTAGGGTTTTAGAAGACATGCTTGAATCGGCTTTTGCCTTCCATCAAATATTAAAATGTTAGGGGAGCTCAGGATTGGCTTTGATGAAGGTAATGGCGGATAGAAATACCTGGATAGACATGGGATTGAGAAGACGGAGGAGAGCCATTCTGGTTAAGAAGGAATCAGTCTTGATATTGGCATCGATAATGTCCGAGATATCTGTTCATTTGGGATTGGCGTAGTTGCGTTCGGGTATATAACCTACAAGGCGCCAGTCAAGTGAGAGATGTCCGTACGGTCTGGGGATACGTACCAAGGAATTTTATTGTATCTTTTGAAGCACAGTCGTCTATTGTCGTGTGATGATCCTGTGATGTCATAGATGCGTGGAATAAGTCCTTGTGCAATATACAATCCTCTAACATATGATGGTGCGATGTATGTAGTGATGACATTGTCTCTATCTGGATTGGAGGCTGTTTGAACGAGCTTGACACTGGGGTCAAGTAGGAGATTCTTTAGTGCGGGGTATCTAACAAAATAACTTGGAACGTAGACTACCCCGCAGGGGAGTGAGCTGAGCTCAGTAGATTGTATGTACCGAACGTACTATAATATTTGGTACTCAGTTGTTCCTTGTCTATATGACGATATACAGAGGCCGGCATCTTGTATCTTCAAAATAACAAGTACTGCGAATAACAAGTACTGCGAATCTAATAAGAACATATAAAAGTACTCAGCGACAGTTTGGGTGTAAACGAAACTAATGGTAATAATGCGTGCTATCATATATATATATATATATATATATATATATATATATATATATNTATATTATTATAACTAATACTAC